GCCGCCGAGTTACATTTTGCCGGTCCGGTAAAAACGTTTCAAAACATTCGCACGATAGGGAAATCACCACTGTCAAATTTAAAGAGTTCTGAGCAAGTGCCATCATAATATTCTCGTTTATTCGTTAATGCGGACTTATTCACACCGTAAATCTTAAATTATGCGGATTTTTCACTCGAAATACTATCGTTGTTTGAGAGTGATTTCAAAAACAAGACCACAAATGACTATCATACATCGGCTGTAGAGAATATCTGAAATAGATCGTAGAGATTTGAGAATTTGGGACCTAAACCAATAACTCTCGGAAGTAGGTTTCAGTATTTTAATTTCTATATGAGGATTCATCACACTTTGTTAATTTTGGAGAGGAAAAATGTATGAAATACGTACTTATCTAAACGTAACTTGCAGAATCCGTAAATCTCATCGTCTTCCTTACTATAATTTCATGGGCAACTCGAGGTGTATAGTACGGGAGCCGGTTGAAACGTCGACAATCAAAACATCGACAAGTACAAAATGTCAACGGGGCATTATATCAATATGTATGAAATATCCACAGATAAATATATTGATAAATAAAATTAAAATGTCGACAAGTAAATACGTCGACAAATAAAAATAAAATAAATATTATTGGATAATATAAATTATAAATAAATATAAAATCTATGAACATGAAATAAAATAAAATTATAGTGTCATATTGTAAGCAATTCCTCTTAAAAACTATATTATTGGAACGTTTCCATGATTTTTTACTACGTTTTGGATTTTGTTCTGTCCTCTCGATGTTTAATTTTTTTTTTTTTTTTGAATGCGGACGAGCTACTCCACGAAGTATTGACTCCGTTATTATTTCTATATATATTGCTTCTGAAACAATAAAATAGCATACGATATTCACGCCATAATGCAGACCCGGGGAAAAAAAGGCCTTTGGGGGCGGAGGAGAGGTTGAAACTCCAAGCATCAATCCCTCCCCCCTGTAAATAGGTTACTGTTCGCATAGCTATTATACGGTTTTGAAACGTGTTTAAATTTCCCGAAATCATACGATATTCTACGCTTACAGGCTGCAAGAAGTTTGGAGAATGTCGCGTACCGGCACGAGTTGTGCGAAATATTTTCTTAAAAGTCGGTATAGTGTGATATATCATTATTATTATAACAGTCTGCGTTCAGGAAATATATAATAATATTACGCGCTGGGAATTCGCAGGCACTTTTAAAAGCAATTTATAGACAACCCGAGTACGCTGCCCTGCCACCTCTCCCCTCCCCCCACCCCGTGCGTACGTTTGGCCGGCGAAAATCGGTTATAAATCTTCGGCCGTAATCGCGACCGGCGCTGGCGCGCACCGCGGACGATGGACGCGCGATGGAATCCGGCCGCACTGCGCCGGCGGAGCCTCACGCGGACCGGAGAATTTTAGCGTCGCGAAACGATGTCAGTTGAGCGGATTCCGGACGAGACTCTGCGGGCGGAATGCCGTCCCGGGCTCGCGACAACGATGACCGGGAGCTGTTGCGCGTGCAGTAACGGAGAAACAAATAGGGATTTTTTTTTTTTTTGTTTTCATCGCGAAGTACCGTGGTGTACCGATTTATTTTGTACACGGAGAACCGTTGGAACGGACCGTACGGATGTTTGAAAACACCGCGCTAGTAAGTATAATGTTGTGTAATATTGCAAGACCCGGAACGACGGAAGGCCTGCACGCGAGAAATGATCCGTTCGATGACTCGCCGGGAGACGGGAAAAATAAAATCCGAGAGTTGTTTCGTTTTCGTGTTAATTTTATACTCTCTGTCTAAAACGCGCGTTTCGCGTGCACGAATTTTCGAACTTACAGTTGTTAATTCAATCATATTTGCGCCCTAAACATTATGTTACAATCGAATGAGAACATTTTACACGTTTTAATTGTGTTCTATTCGCATACACTGATTGTGGCGTAAAGTTTTTCCTCTATATGAAGCGATTCCAGTAAAATTAGAAACAAACTTCATGCGGCCAAACTTCTGTACACGTTTCCGTAAACTTCTGTATCAATACAATCTAACGATAACGTGACACGCAAGCGCTCCACCCATCTGATTAGGTAACAAAGCTGCTTCATAATCCTACTTGATGATTCCCTTGATATGAACCTATTCAAAGTTGATGATGCTCGTCGGTGTAAATGGGTAGTCGAACAGGTAGGATGCACACGTGATAATTAAGTTTATACCAGTTGGTACACCGTATGGAACGATAAATCAATGCGAACGAAAAACCAATTCCGCGCGGAGTAGTATGATGCGGTTTTTTTCTCCTGTTGCCGAGATAGCCCGGGAATCAACAAAAAAAATTAAACGACGAAAAAAACGAACCAAGGCAAGTTGTTGGACATTTAGAAAAACCATTCAAATGAAGTTCTGTCGGCCGAAAAATTCGCATATTTTATGGCACGACATGATAAAAAATCTGAGCGTATTTACTAACCGTAAACGCGTTCCTTCCGAAAAGGAAAAAAAAAAAAACCACGCACCGTTGTAAAACCAATATATTATTATTTATCACCACTGCGCTCGGAATCTAAAAACGAGCGGCGGCGATTGTAAAAATTTCGTTTCAAAACGCGTCAGCATTCAAACCGATCGTCTATCGGACGGTCATCGGTAGTCGTCCGAAGCCTAATGTTTCGGATTCGTATATTATACGCGGATCCGAAACGCGTGTGTGATTCTTTAATCGCGTCCGATAATTTATTCGAAAACACGAAAAATCTCACAGTTATTGTAAAAGACACCCAAACATACTATTACGAAACGGATCTCACGGCCCCACGAAAACGGGCGGTGAATGGGGGGGGGAGAGGGGGGAATAAAAAAAATGCCCAACAAACCGTAGTATATAATATAATATCGAAACGCGTTTTTCTCGGCGGCGGCAGTTAATCGACGATTTGATTTTATCGTCGGACGATCGCGACGCACACGCGTATAATATTATCGTATGCAGGCACCGCGGCGACGAACCGATTAATACCGAAACGAAAAACATAACGAAAATGGTTTTTTCGAGCGCAAAACGCCTGTTCGGGTCGAAATAAAAAAAAAAAATTAACAATAATAACCGTGAATATTTGCGGACGCGACACGCTTGTCCGCATATCTATTTACTATAATAATGTAATAAAATATTACCGGAGCGATAGAAAAAAAAAAAAAAAAAATAACGCATACCCGTACGCGCGTATAATTTATGTAAAATCGCGACCAGATACCATCGCGCGTCGCGTCTCTCCTCTGCTCCGAGGATACTCCGAGAGAGGGACAACAGCGAAAAATCAATAAATAAAAATCGAATACTGTTATAGGTTCACCTATAATTTTATACACGTATTAATGTATACGCGGTATATCTATAGGCACCAGCTATTAGTATTCCTCGGCTATTATTATTATTTTTTTTTTTTCATATTATTTACTCGCGCGCTATCCAGCCGTATTTTATTATGTACGCGTTGTATTGCGTTCGATCGAGAAGCGGATCGTCGCGGAACGGCCGAGGGTAGGGACGGATAAATAAAAAAATCGACGTATTTATATAGATAAAAAAAAAAAAAAAAAAAAAAAAAAAAAAAAAAA